GTCGTGTAAAGTCGTTCCCCAGCTACGGTACAAAAGTACAATACGTCGCTCAAATCCAATACCCACCTTTAAAATGCGTTACAATTATCCTCGATCTCAGCAAAGAAAGAAGCAAAGTGTTTCTTTATTTTTATACAAGACTAAGTTTTCAATTCCATTTATTCAATTTAGTAAGAAATAAAAATTTATTTAATTTTGTTCTAATTTTTTCCCGAAGTATAAAGTTTTATTTGTTGATATTAATATTGATGAAAAACCTATTGTTTTGAATACAAACTCTAAACTAACATAATATTTATTAGAAAACACAAAACCTATTTATTTTCTAATAGGTAGATTATTTAAACCATAATCTGGCTGATTAATAGATTTTTCACGGAATCGGACACAGGTAGATACCAAGTAACACGAAATGTAAAATTACTGAGACAACTCCTTGAAAACCACCACCCAGAAAACCTCACGAAATAGGAAACTTCAACAATGTTTTGTGACATCAAAACCGCAGAAGTACTCGTAACCGCTTCAAATGTTACGAGCTCTCGAGAAAGTTCGAGAGAGTTCTCTTTGAATAATCTAAATCTTAGGTGAAAAGAAACTTTGTCACTATTAGCCAACGATGTTTGCTATCTATTAATGCACAGTATGTGACTCGCATAGAATGTGAAGTTGTAGGTTAAATGCAAAAGCATAACTCACGGCGGGATTGTAATATGGGTGTATACGGCATCGGCTACGGGCTCGCGTGGGACGCGATCACTCGCAGACGCGGCGAGTGGGGACCGCAAAAAAACTGTAGTCTCGTGAATAGGAGTGATGACGGGGCACAAGTAAACAAAATTCTATTTAGTCCGTCAGTTAGATGATCAAAAAATAATGGACACGTATTTTTTCTTTGGGCAATCTACCAAAAAATGACAAAGTTATAGCACTTCAAAGTTTGGGAGCAGGGTCTCGAGACGTCATTTTTAAGTGAAAATTGTAACAAAACGAGACGTCCTGTGACTTTTCAAATCAATATATCTCTGCAATGTTTATTTTATGTGAAAAAGAAAAAAATACGTGTCCAATACTTTTTGATAATCTACCTGATAAACGAAGAAAAAAAATAGTCATCATCCATAGTACAGCTCTGCGGCGGGTGCGGGAAAAAGCTAATCCGAGAGTTCTTAGCCTGAACGCAATACGGAGTACCGCACTGGGCCCACGTAGTGGTGACCCACCACCCAGTGAGCTTTTGTGGGTGGTAAGGACTACAGATGTCACTCTGGCACCAACGTCATATACTTCCATCAGAAGTACAAAGAAGTTCGAGTTGATATTTTTTGTTCGCCCATCCTGTGGTAGAACTTACCTAAGTGAATTTCGATCTGAATTGTCCTGTTATCGCCGAAGAGATTTAGGATCGCGCCCACCCCAATATGTTTTACCCTCTAGTTATTTAGGATAATATATATATTTTTTAAGCATTTAACTGCTAGATGTTGTAAATCTAAATAGAACGAGTCCCGTCTGCTGCCTGGTCCACGTAATATTTTTTCGCCCCGTGTCTGCTCTTATTCTCTAAAATATATGAGCATCGAACCGAAGAGCAGCGCGTCGGCGGGGCGTGGTGAAGGGAGGAGATGCCTCCCACTTTTTTATTACGCCTAGACTGAGAGTACTACAAAGTAAAGAAAAATAAATCTCTACAGGACAATTCAGCAGTGGTATTGTAAAAATTTTACGCGCGGATCCGATGTGGAACTTTCTACAGAATAGCAGTGCTGATCGAACTTCACATAAGTTAGTTCATTTGATCATTAAAATGGATCACATTCATATTTTCTATTAATGATGGTTTGTCCTTCTTGTAGTAAATAATATAATAATTTCTATATTCTAATAAATTTCTCTTTTGATATCACTGATTTTGTGTTCAAAGGAAAATTCCGCATAAGCAAAACCAGTATCCAACGTTTAATTAATGCAAAGTAAGTGACATAAACATCAGAGGAGCTCGATGGCGCAGGAGGTTAGCGCTGCGATCGTTGTAGTTAAGCAACTTTCGCAGTAGTTAACATTGGATGGGTGACCAAAAAAATCTATCTCGAGTTCCTCCGTGCTTCGGAAGGCACGTTAAGCCGTTGGTCCCGGTTGCACCTGCAGTCGTTAGCACCCGCCAATCCGCAATGGGCCCGCGTGGTGGGTCATGGCCCAGTCTCCCTATTCCATCCATAGGGAAGGCCTGTGCCCCAGCAGTGGGGACATTAAGAGGCTGATGATGATGATGATGATAAAGTGACATAATGTCAACTTGGTGAAATAGGGCTCTGGTGTCGTTATTAGCTGCAACTTGCAAATAAAAGACATGTCTTTCAAAAGTCTACCCGGAAATGGTCCGTGACCTTATTAACGTAAACATACACTAAATCAGCTCATTAACTTTGCATCGAACTTCGCAATACGTCATAGTTAACGTATCGCCGCACATAAGCTTATACCTAGATAACAACAGATTTCAGGATTAACTTATCAACAACTGTCTAACTTTGATAACATAACGAAGATTGGGATCGTCCAAGTTCATTAACACGTTTATCATAATTTTAGTCGTTTAATTCATGTATGCTTAGTTGTTCGTATTTTATCATCATGTAATTTTTCTTTTCTAGTATAACTTTTCTTTAGATTTAAACATCTAGCAGTTACATGCTTAAAAATAAATAAAAAAAACATAACTATAATTGATATTTCTTCTTTCAAATGTTTAATACTTGAAAAAGTATTCATTTGACATTGTGGGTTACCTACAATGCGAAGAGATGGCGCTGCCTTGCAGCTTAAGGCTAGGAAAATTTCGACGCGGCCATCAGGGCCGTGGTAGCATAATTGGTCAGTGCATTTGCCCGGATTGCGAAGGGTCGGCGTGGATATTTTTCTAGTAAAACTTTTCTTTAGATTTAAACATCTAGCAGTTAAATGCTTAAAAATAAATAAAAAAACATAATCATGTATTTTCTTTACCAGCTTGTGCCTGCGACTGCGCATAGAAAAATATATACACCAAATGTTCATCCCCAAAAAAAAAAGGTATGGTGAAAGTCCTCGTACGTCGGCATTTCGCTAAGAAGTCATAACAATTTCAATTTCTAAGTATATTATAATCAAACTCTGGTCAATCCGCCTAATATTAATATTATATTTATTATATTTTATTATGATTTGTATTTTGTTTTATTATACTATTGTTAAGTAAGTATAGAGGTATTTATCATTGTATATATTTAGGTATTTATCGTATATATAAATATGTATGCATATATATGTAGTTATGTAAGTATATTTATAGATGTTATGTATTATAATTTTATATTAAGTATCATGTAGTTTTATCAATTTTTTTTTCCTTTCACCTTTTGCTTTTATTTACTTTACCGCATAATTGTCTCTGCTTAGCCCGATGGTTGACTGGTAGAGAATGCCATGTGGCATTAAGTCCGCCATTTGTTGTAAATAACAATAAAGAGTAAATAAATAAATAAATAAATAAAGTACTTCACAAGGTGCAAGTTTGCCCTCTTATGTTATTCTGGTGCGCTCGAGTAAATCTCGAAATCCCCGCTTGGGATCCCTACACTTACCCAAGTAATTGCTTCTAGCGGGTTTGGAACCAGGGCCTTTGGCGCAGAAGGTAGAAGCGATGCCATTATATAAACGGGTCAAGATTTGTAGCATTGCTGTGGATTACACTAAATAAGAATAAAATTAGTGACATTTTAGACATACTCCGAAAGACGGAAATGTATCTGTTTGATCCGTCTTCGTCAACTCAAGCGGTCTAATACCATTTCATACCTACTCCAGCATTAAAATGGATTTTACAGGCGTCAACATTGACTAATCAACCCCTTTCACTGGAAAACAGTGTTCGTGTTAAAAAGAAGTTTTATTTAATACAATTTTCCAGTAAGCAAAAGCCTTAAGCCTTTGTGTCTCGACGGTCTCATTATGTCACGCTATTGTTACTCAGCTGAGCTGTGTTGCCAAAGACAGTTTGTTATTTTTTTTTTAGTATTCTAGTGGAAATATTTTTCTAAAAGTAACGAAGTATTCTGAATTGCGATTTTAAAGATTTATCTCAACTTTAACTAAGACAAAACTGTTTATTTTGGAGGATTTCTATAAATTCAAATTAAAGTAGATGACAATAGTGTACAAAGGCAGAGTAAATATGCAAAACCTAGTATCATTGAGGCAGCTACTACTAGATAAAAAAAATTAACCAGGTATTGCGATAATTTTATTCACCTTTTAATTTTTAATTTTCCTTGTTAAAAATGGTTTAGTCACATAATAATAAGTGTGTAGGTCGTAAAATTGGGTTGGTATTTAATAAATAAAAAAAGTATTTCATAAATCAATTTATTATTCTTAAGTGATAACCTAAATATTTAATCATCAAATAAAGATATTGTTTTTCATATTGCACAGGGTAATTAGAAAGCGATCATAACATTTTTGGATACCATGAGTATCGTTCGTGTGTGCTGTTTATAATAGGCATAGGTATTGTGGCAATCCTATATCAGAATAATGTTATTTAATGCAGTCTTCAGTTATGGCAAGGCAAATAAAACTTTCTCAAACTTTCTAGAAAGCCGCTCCAAATTAATTGCAATATCCACTTTACCCTAACTACATTATAATATTAGACAGCACCAAAAAAGCCCGTAAAATGCCTCACTCAATTCCGAGAGCCAAACATATGCTTAGTGATTAAAATAGCCACACTTCCGGTCACCCACATACAAGGAATTTGCACAAATGCAGTTTACAGCTTTATGCATCATTTTCTCCTTATAAGTACTATATTAATCAAAACTTTGAAATCAAATCACCAAATCTGAGAAAAATTAAGGAAAACACTTCAGCATTTATGTATTTTGGTAATTTATGTCTTGGCCTCGGCTACTACCGCAGTAGCTGAGGCCAAATTACATTTTATTTTAATTTAATTGATTAAGCTTTGCTTAAGAAACGATATCTATATATGATTTTTCCTTTGAAACCCTTATATGTACTTATAATAAGCGTACTATAAAAACTCGTCAGTCATCGCGTTTTCTTATAGTTTAACTTTTATTTGATTATCACAAAACATTGATAATTTAATCTTACAGTTACACGAAATTATAAGTATACATTTTACCAAATTCTTTGCTTCAGAAACGTTAATCACTACGAATTAAGAGTGGTTTTCCCAATGGATTCTTTCAGTTCAGGATCTTGGTCAATCATAGCTTTTCCTTCAGGAGAATTGACGTCCGGCGCTTGTCCATGATATGTGTCTTCGGTGTAAACTCGATTAATCTTTCTCATAGTACCATGAATCTGGACAAAGATAGCAAAAACTTTACAGATTTTATATTAAAAAGGTAAACTACTATTATTAATATTTCTTACTCCAAATGTCAAAAGGAAAATATTTAAGTTCTATAATAACTACTTAGTAACGGACAACAACAACAACCAACAATTTTTTGACGATCGTTTGAATATGTGCCATCTCAAAATATCGACACTGGCAAAGAAAAACATCGTAACCAAGTTTCAGACGTGCGTAAAAGGGACAATTAGATCTTGGGGTTTTTCTTTAAAGTCCTAAATCTAAATAATCTTGCATAGAATAAAGAAGGAAGGTTCTTTTTATGATTATACTAGTGGCCCGCCCTCACTTCGCTTCGGTATAGAGCTGTAGTGTAGACTAAAATGACTCTTCATATAATTATGGAAAAAAAACTGAAAATGGTATATTTGCCTTTTGCAAACATCTATTGACATCACGTCACTCAATTGTTTTGTCTTCCCTGAACCTCTCCACTAACATTTGAAATTCATGTTATGGTATTACGTTCAAATTGACTTTTAAGTATTATTACGAATCGTTTGTATGGGAGTATAGAAAAGTGTTGTTTTTGGACATTTGTAGGCATTTTTTTGAATTTTTCTCTGCGTAAGAACCATCCACGTACTTCAAGGAATATTCTAAAAAAAGAATTATCGAAATCTGTTCATCAGCTGTTCTCGAGATTTGCGCTTAGCAACACATTCAGCGATTCATTTTTATATTATAGATTTCCGTGGGTTGATGTATTTTTTATATTTTTAACCACGATTTTCATAAGTTACAATGACATACTTGCCATCATATGATAAAGGAGATTGGTCAAATTGGCCTAAATGCAAATAAAATATTGACATATACAGTAATTCTTGGCGTAATTTATACTTTATTTTACAGTCATTAGATTTTGACGGCCACCTTTAAATAATATATTAATTTTAAAAAAGGACTTCTATTTTTACCGGTTTGGAAAACATACGAATCATTTTTATTGGCTATGGGTGTAGTAACATTCACAAAGACTGATCGAGGTTATTTATATAACATCAAAACAAATCTATTTTGTAAAGATTGATAAAATATATATTTTTTTTATTACACGGGTGGTATTAATATCCACAACTGTATTATCATTTTTACTACATGCAAATGTGCTAAGACAATTAATATAGATGGTAGGCGACATCATAAAGTCTATTGCCGTACATTTTTTGCCAAACACCTAAATAAACACATTATAAGGTGTGATACACTAAAAATCTAAAATATGGTTATAATAAAAACATAACAAAAATAATGAAGCTGCTGAAGATATGGCTGTATAATCTACAGCTCTTAGCTTTCTTTGATTAACGAGAGTTTAAAAATTCTCTCTAATCTGTGGCTCATTCACAATCATAACACAGTTTCTGTTCGTGTTTTTAAAAACATGCACACACCTGTTATTTTACATGCTCTATATACCTGAATCTAATACATAATATCGGTACTTGGCTTGATTGCCCTATTTTCCTATATAAGTTATTTGGTTTTTATTATTCTAATACCTATGTGCATATACACTGAATGATTTTGAGGTTATGTTTGCAAACGAATACGTTTCTACGGTAATTTATATATAATTTCGAATGTAGGAAACAATTTTTCATGGTTATTGGTTTTTAGGCCAAACATGTATGGAAGCTGAGCAATCTCCTTTAGGGCATTTAGGGAAAAATCCAAAGCGAAATTACTGTTTCGTTATGCAATTTTATTCCTTTGTCATTTCCTTTGTAACTTTTCAATAGGATAGAATTTATGAATACGGGTATAAGTTTATACTTATACCTCATGGTTACAATAGTATTGTTATCAATACTATTGTAACTTAAAATCACCATAAACGGAGTTACGATATTTTTCCTTGCAGTTGTCGATATGATATATAAAATCAACGCGCGGAGCTATGAAGTTTTGGGAGACATTTATGTGAAAATAAAGGTCTAACTGAAAATAATGAGAGAGAGCAAAGCTCGGTATTTCCTTACGCGAAAGAATCAGAAATGAGGAAATCCGTAGAAGAACTAAAGTAACCAATATCGCTCGAAGGTTTGCTCTGCTGAAGTGGCAGTGTGCAGAAGACCCAGCAAAAAGAACTGAAGATCGTTGAGGTGGAAAGGTTCTTAAATGGCGATCGTGCACCGGACGACGCTCAGTTTGCAGGCCCCAACCAGGTGGACCAACGATCTAGTAAAGGTCGCGGGAAGCCGATTAATGCGGGTCGTGTAGAACCGATTGCTGTGGAAATCCTTGAGGGCGGCCTAAGCTCAGTTGAGAGCGTCGTAAGGATGAGGTGATGATGATGGTGAATAAAAATAATAACATTGAAGAATTGTCAAAAGTAAGTAAAATGTGGTACGTAATAAAACGCGCAGAAAGCTGAAAATCAACTTTTTTTTAGAAAAGATTACGCCTTACTTTATCCCATATGAACATATTGAACCCGAAGTTGCAGTGGAAGAACTCGTGGTGCTTGTCATGGAAGTCGGCGTCAGGTTGCCAAGGCTGCCACCACTGCGCTTTGAAGTTGATGCCAGAGTGGTCGATGATGCCATGGTAATAGTTGTAGATCGCCACAATGTAGAAAGGCACTATTCCAAAATAAAATTACATCAATAATTGAACTTAAGGCAAATGTCAGTTCAAACACTCGTAGTTTTCTGTGTTGTTCGGTATATTTTGTTCCTAGTAAAATATTTAATTTAACCTTTTTGAATGGACACAAAGCACGATTTATTTAAATTTACTTTGTTTTTGACGTTTCAATGTTACAACAGGCTCTGTGCTCGTGAAATATTTATTGTTTTGGTAAACAAAAAAATATAGTAGTGTCAAAACGTGCCACAAAAATATTTTCTATTACTTATCGACTTTGTAGGTTAAGCAATTATTTTTAAATTTCTTAAAAACTTTGACAAGCAATTAAGAAACAATGTTCTCGTGCTTATTTCACACCTACGCGAGGAAGTTTCGGGTGGCTTTGCTACTAAAATGCGCTAGTATTTGCGTTTGAACTTAAAATTCTGTGTGCTCCTTCAGTTGCGCTTACAAATTTATCGTTTTGCACGACCTCTTTTAGCGTGTCAAATTATCACCAGTCAAGCTTTCGTCTAGCGTATATAGACACGCAGTCCGCGTATTCATTATGGCAGAACTAATTTAAATTTCGAATGCTAATTTTAGCACATTAAGTACCTAAGCCACCAGAAGCTTCTTCGGCGCAGGTGCGGGAGAATCGTTAATAAATAATAGTAATATAAAGAAAGGTACTAAGGAATCTAAAGAAAATATTAGCTACATGCTTTAAAAAAATAAAAATTATGGGACTAATGAAGTTAAAAATACTTACGCCAATGTGTCGGGAATAGGAATAGAGGCAGACAGAGCGTTAGTTGTATGTGCATAATTTCCACAGGATGTATGGCGGTGACAGAGAATGCGGTCGGTTGCTTGTACTTGTGGTGCAATTTGTGAAAATGTTTGTACAAAAATGGCGTATGGTACAAACGATGGATAATATAAGTCGTATAATCCTGGTGAAGAAACAAAAAAAAGGTTTAAAAAATGATTCAACTTTGGATTATGTTAATTAATAATAATATTAATAATAAACTTTCTTTGCTCTTCTTAATCTTAAGCATGCTTCATAGGTAACAGATTATAAGATTTAGGACTAAGATTGTATGACCAAACTAAGCTGACGCCTGTGTCTCAATGCACCAACCTGTCCCCGCTATAAGAAAGTGTAACAGCAAAAAAAAGAGTACAATGATAATTTTTCGTAAGATAAACTACCGACCCCATCTGATGTTAAGTATAAGTAGAGTCCAGTCGCCAAGATAGATGATGCGGTAGAAGGTGTGCGGCTAAAGAGTAAATGATAGTTTTCAAAAATGTTCTGTGTATGAGAGAATTATAAGAGCAAAGAGAAACCTCAGTCTTAGAGCAGTCCACAGATAAGTTTGTCTTCATATTTATTTTTAAATAAAAGACCGAGCAATGAATTTTACTTTTCACCTTCGTCTTGCTGATCTGCGACATTTTTTTTCAAGCCTCTTAAACGACCGCAGAACTTCGTGTTATTACCTAAATGGTGCAATGCAAATGAATTGCATTTATAAATGGACTAAGAAATTAATCGTCAAAGTTACACATTCAATTGAGAGTCAAAAATGAAAAACTTAATAGGCTTTCGTAAGAGATTGCTTTCTTAATATCATTGAGAAATAAATCGCCAAATTAATATATTCAGTTCAAAGTCAAAGATGAAAAACTTCATAAGCTCTGTTATGTTTTCTTAATATCAAATAAACTCCAAAATAAACTTACAGCATAAATAAAGATGATGGGTAGCTGTAAGAAGAACCACCACCAGCCGTATTCGTCGAATTGATAGTACACCGTGGAAGGGTTCCCGTTGTAAATGTAAGTGGCTAAGAATGCTGAGAAGCTGCCTGTTACGACAAGGGACAAAGTGCCAACTACGATCTCATGCCGTTCCAGTTCAGGAGTAAGCCATTTGGTGGGCTGGATCTTCCATTCTTGCGCAAGGTGCCGACGGTTCATATAGAAGTACCACTGAAATCAATCAAGAAAAATTAGTCAGTAGATATTTGAAATATAAAAATAGGTACTATAGTATAGAGGAGAGGGGAGCTCGATGGCGCAAGTGGTTAGCGCGTTCGGCTGCGATCGTTGATGTTAAGCAAACTTTCGCAGTGATCGGTCATTGGATGGGTGATCAAAAATTACTAACTCGAGCTCCTCCGTGCTTCGGAAGGCACGTTTAGCCATTGGTCCCGGTTGCATCTACAGTCGTTAGCACCCACCAATCCGCACTGATCCCGCGTGGTGAGTCATGGCCCAATCTCCCTATTTCATCCATAGGGAAAGCCTTTGCCCCAGCAGTGGGGACATTGATAGGCTAATGATGATGATGAGATATTTGAAATAGATACCTATAACTCTAAATCTAAAAAAAGAAAAGAGCACACCGGCTATTCAATTTTGTAATATTAAGTACAAGTTAATCAACATGAAGACTACTTTCATTACGTAGCAAATAGAGCAAGTTTTATTAAATATTGTAGACAAGACTTTACTATTTCTTTGACGTTTAAATGAATGAAACCAGCTTATTTAGAATGAAAACAGAATAAGATTATAAGAGATATTAATTTTTTCTTTTGCTTTGTAGGTATATATAATAAAGCATATTTTTTTCATTTTAAGATTTTTGGATCAGTAAATGAAATGATGGCCCATTTCATTGAAGACGAAAAGGCAAAGAGAAAGCGGTCACAGTATCGAAAATGCCTGTAGGCTACGGACAGTTACCAAGACTTTTGCATAATTAAATACGATCTCGATCTGATAGTTAATTCGGTGAATGAAGGTTACCTTTGCGTTTCTGATTCAATGGATACATTTATGACATATTAAATCAGACCTTTTCCCAGTTCAAAATATGAGTTCATTAAAACGAGCTTTTAGTACTGAAATACAAAAATTGCTATTAAATGTGAGTAACACAGGTTCATTCTATTAATTGAAATTACGAATGTTGTTTAATATAACGATCTATTGAAGACGCTATAGTAGAAGTTTGTACTTTTACGCAAAAACAAAATTTTGATGTTTAATTTTTTTATGTTATTTAACTATAGCCCAACTGGATGATCAAATTTCACATTTTGGTGTTCTTAAATAAAGTGCCGTTTAGTCACCTGGGTAATCAAAATATGTGGAATTACTAAAGATATAATAAATATTGAAATAAATAAAATAACTTATTTCTAGCTTCCTTTTACACACGTGCGACGAGCATTCGAATTTTCTTCATTATTTATCAGCATATTAATGTGCCCAGTGCTGGGGCACAGGCCTTCCCTATGCATGGAATAGGGTGATTGGGCCGTGATCTACTACGTTGGTCCTTTGCAGATTTTTTTTCCGGTGATGCGATAAAATGTTTTAAGAGACAGACAATATTAAATCAGCTAGGGAAGCTAATTTATAGCTGAAGAACACTAATGTCTAGATTTATTATATTTCTTTTATCTATAATTGTTTTGCAACTTTTTTATGTTAAAATAATATTATGTTTACTAACTTTGTTGCAGTAAAATTCTATGTAGGTAGATGAAATATTTTAGAATATTATTTGCAGAATAATATTTTTATTTGTGCTTTGTTTGTAATCAAAGATTGTTTTGTGACTTGCTGCTGAACTATAAAAGAGGGACTGGGATTATACCTGTATTTGGTAATAAATAGGTATATATAATTATAAACTACATTATCTAGACACTCTTAACAAATAAATATACCTATACCTCAGTTTATAACAATATTCAGACAGGAAAATCTAAAGAAACTTATAAAATGTAGGAGTGCTCTATTTGTGTGTATTATGAAGTTTGAAGGATGTGGTTAAAATTAATCTTTTGTTTCCATATGTTTGTCCAGATAAACGAACTGGCAGTCCACCTGATGGAAAATCAGGGGCATCACTTGTGCGTTGCCAGCTCTAAGGGAAAGGCTTACCCACCTTTTGAAGAGCGCCATCAAGCGACATACTGCTGATGGATATTTTCTCGTAATTGAACTTCATTCGAAATTTCAACTCCTACAATTTTGATGTTTTTAGACATATTGAGTAGGGTGCTCGGAAATAATGTATTGCTGCGAAAAGGGATTTTTTGCGCTAAGCGCACACGCTTGACTAAATTTTTAGGCCCCAATTTGAGACGTGCTTCAGTACCGCTTCAATTACATACACAAGTTTGTCTTTATACGAGGGATATTTGGCCTACCAGTGTAAAAGGTGTCGCCAGTTCTATCCGCATGCAATGAATGTTGTTGTTAGTTACCAACAAACCATTGTAGGCAACAAAACTGATCCTTGTGGGACGCCATTAATGGGTTTAGTGTTAGAAGAGACGCAATCATCTACTACTTGTATGCTGCATTCTAGCAGAAAATAGGCAATCCATTTTCATAACCCATCGGAGAACCCAGGAAGTTTCGACAGAAGTGTCCTGTGCCAGACCCGAACAAATGCCTTAGCGACATCAAGGCTGACAGGAAGTGCCTTACCCTTGCTTTTAATGGCCTTTGCTCATCAGTGCATTAAGTATAGGAGCAAGTCACCAGTTGATCGACCACGTCGAAAGCCATACTGACGGTCACTGATCAGTTGGTGCCACTCAAGATAACCTAGGAGCTGCAAGTTGATGATGCGCTTTAATTTATCTTGGAAAGTAAAGAGGTAACAGAAATGGGTCAGTAGTTTGATGAGTCTGAACGGTTACCCGGAATAGGGTGTACTAAAGCTACCTTCCACGAAGAAGGGACTATGCCAGTAGCATAGAAGTGTGAGTTAAGTAGACGCTTAAGTACTGGAAACAGCTCTGGAGCACACGTTTTTAGTGCGATAGCAGGGATTGCATCCGGTCCACTCTACATCCGGATGTCGGGGGAAAGAAGAGTTCGCCACATGACGCTTTGAGTAAAGCATAGCAAGATATCAGGCAAGGCGTTCTTGCACCTTGCAATGGTTGGTGGTATTATTTCTTCCGTCATCGAGAGTCGACTTTGATACAAATAGTGTGCTGAAAAAGATCGGACTTCCCTTTTGCGGTGTGACCTAAAGAATCGTTTGGCCTACGTAAATGTGGTAATGACGACCAGCAAAAATTGCCGTGCACAGACTTGGCGAGTAACCAGAAAGCACGAGTTGTCGATAAGAATTATGATCATGATAATAATAAATTATCATCTAACTTACGTGTAAGAATCCACCGATCCCGAAGTACATTGCGAAGGAAACGAAGTGTGCCGCGATGAAGATGGTCGCAATATTCTCCATTTTGAGGTTTCTTTCCGTGAACAGCTTGAATATCTCCGCGGTGGTGGCATTTGTGGTCTGCGTGTGCCCCGAGAACTGCTTCAGCGCTGATACTAAGATTACCACCCATTCTCCTGGAATGCATACGACGAAATTATGTTTTTATATTTAAATATAGGTCCAAAAAAATGACTACGATCCATCTAATGTTAAGTGGCGTTGTAGTCCAGACACGTAAATAGCTGGTGCAGAAGTTTTATGTGTCATACCAGCTGCTCTCACCTTGACGATTTGCAAGGTGCTTCTAAACGCCTCTTTTATAGGATTCGGGGTTGTAGGAGGAACGGAAAACGTAAGCGGGCAAAGCATTCCGCTCGCTGATAGTGCGACAAAAGTCATGAAAACTTCTTTCTTCTAATATTCCTAACTAGCGGGACCGGGACATAGTCCGTATGCTTGAATAGTTTTCTTATACAAAGCTTAACCTCCATTTTCATCCCCTTAAGAGGCGATTTCTTGGATAAAAACTATCCTATATTGGTACATGGGTCTCAGACTATTTCTATATAATTTATATTATGTAAAAATATAGAATGCAGTTGAATCAGTGAAACTATGTCAAACTTTTTCTACTGACATTCCCTAAATGTAATGTTGGAAGTAGGATTAAAGTTAACTCGTAATATATTAACAATGTATAATTATCACACAGGTGTTCAGAATTAATTGCGATTAGATACTTTGCCATCATATTATTATTTTATGGAAATTAAGTCTGTTCGCACGTGTTACATAATTACAATCAATGCGAGATAAAATTTGTTGATATGCGGATACGATTCTATAGATAGATTAACTACTTTGTATATAAATATAATATATTTATAATAATGTAATATATTATGAAAAATGATTTTCTCAACTTAATTGAGTGCTCAGAAAATATATACCTACCTAATATAATTTTAATAAACAGAAAATGTTACTTTTTTGTGAAAGCAAAAATGAGCGGGGCCAAGATTGAAACACATAGGTACGGTTAGAAATGAAAGTCTATTCCATGTTTCAATCTTGAGTCCGCCCAACTTCCAATTCATGAGCGGATATTATATTTAACTTTTTAGTTTCATTTTCAAAAATGAAGTCGGTTTAATTTTTTGTTTAAAATGTTTTATTCAATCAGATTTAATGAAAATTGCATCGTCCAAGTAAACAATAAACAAAAATGCTGCTAAATTAAAAACGACTGGGTCAAACTAAATATTTATATGGGGCCAAACGGCAAGTAAAAAAAAACACTCAAATCGTTTAAGGAATCTTTAGGTAATCGGTGTACATATGAACAAAGTATCGTTAAAATAACATCGTCGAATAAACGAAAATGCTTATAAAATTAACCAAAATGTATTAAATTTTTATTGAGTGAACAAAAAAAGAATCGCGTAAATCGGATCAGAAATGTCGGTCGAAAGAATCAGTAATCGGAAAAAATAAATAAGAAAAAATGACATAGCAACCGTTTTGAGAACCTTCTCCTTTTTGAAGAAGTGGAAACTCAAATCTTTAAAAAAAAACTAAGCAAATTGTAAACGAATACAAAAAAGGGTCTCTAATGGAAACTTCTTAAAAAACACTTAAATAACAATCTCTAATGATGATCTCCCGTTTCCAGACCAAATATTCCACGAAAAACTTAATTGTCAAAAATATCAAATAAAATTTACTATTATATTTACAAAGAATAATTTCACCCAATCATTATGTCGCAGATATTATTAAGCTAATCATATATTTCAATCACAAAGGGAATAAAATAATAAGCATCAGTTATCAGATTTTGAACAATGAAACTTTGTTTAGCGATATTGTCTCGCGACCTTAACTAAAGACCCGTTATCTGTAACTTAAAAACATTCCATCAGATTTCAAGATTTACTTATCACTATTATTATCGTCATACAGTCAATACTACATAAACAAGCAGGTAGCCTAATTTGATGGGCGTTTGTTAAGAGTTTTTTGGCCAGACGGAATAAACCTTTTGTGGACATAAAGGAAAAATAGGTGCATAAAGAAGTTTATCCCGTCGACCCAAAAAAAGGAGTAGAATATTTTCAGGAATCATACATATTACTCACATGTATGTATTTATACTACCGGACACATCTATCGGCCCACCTAGCATTTTAAGTTTTGATCTATATGGTTCTGTCGGTCTCAAGCTAATAATAAAGGTTACATTGAGCAAAAAGTATATATTTCAAACTTGAAGCCGAAATATTAACCATCTTTTTTGTGTGTTTAAAAAAATATATTGCTCAACCTATCTCAATAACAGTTTTGCTACAGACCGTTGAAACTTATGACACTAAGTGGGCCGATAGACGTGTCTGGAAGTGTTGAAATAAAAAGATCTAACAGGCTTCTTCTCAGATTAAAATCCGATATTGAACTTGGTTTAGCCTGCTTAGTTCGTTTTCTCAAAAGACGTCTTAATTTTTGCTTTTTCTTTATAAGTAGTGATAGTAACTCAATGCAGTTGAATTGTTGATGATACATACATCTATAAAAGTCTTGATGCAAACATGGCGGATGGATCAGATAATGTTGCTATATAAGCCACCTACATTCACGAGATCATGAATCTATTCCTTTACCCGAAGAATATTAATGGGCCATCCTTTTTTATTAGTTTCATAACAAAAATAACAATCACAAAGTTAAAAAGTACGCCATACATCGTAGGGTTTTGTCTGGTGTACTAAATACAAATACGATTCAACTGCATATAATTATAATGTGATGAATAGTTAGGTACCTTAAATTATTTTTACGCTAAACAAATGTTCAACAAAGCTCATATTGGAGAGAAAAACAGAATACAAGATAAAACAGAAAAATGTATGTACACAACGCCTCTTAGAGTAATCGCTTCAATTCAACATTTATTCAAGTGAAATGTCAGCGTAGACCATGAACTTACCTCTTAAAGTGGCACCTAAAGTAAATATGGCGAATGTTGCAATAAAAGTACTGATGAACTCTGGCAATTTCTCAAAGAACTTCTCCAACGGGTCGGCGTATCTCTCTATCCATTTCACTCCTTCCGCCAATGGGTCCCAATATTTTGGCTTCTGCTCAGTATCATCAATAGCTTCAGTCGGTACTCCATTTTTACTTGACTCGCCATTTATATGTATTCCATCTTGTTTACTCGTTTCGCCATTTAAATGACGCTTTCTTGCTTCCGCTGCCATTCTATCTGTGAATTAAAACTTTGACATAAGTAAAAAAAGGAGAAAGCAATTAGACAAAGGAAGATCTCCTTTGTCTAATTGCATATACATTTTTGAAAATTCCCCAAAATGAAGGTGGAAACTGTACACGACAAACTTGGTCATAATAAGGGTTATTCAAATTTTAATCTATATGTACCATATTCTCAGTATCTAGCTATTTCATTATATAGTTTATTAAACGTCCTCTAACAAATGGAAATAGTACTGTGATCCATTTCAAAATAAAATCGATACTGACAAATAAGTACATCAGCACTTAAAGCACTGCCAGTAATAATGGTAATTTAATCAATTTGATATTTCCAAGTTGTATTGTAACAGATCGCCATCCCACGAGTTTTGAGAGAAAAAGTTTCTGGAATAACCTTGCCGGAATGTTTGAAATCAAAATATGATTTATATTAATAAATTTTGATATTCTGATTGACTAGAAATTACACAGTGTTATATAAACATAAATTTTACATTTACTTACTTTTACTACCTACAAATATCAGCCACTTAATAATATGTTGCGTCTTTGGTACCAATAAAAAATACTATTTTGTCTTTGTCATCACTGAATTCACAGACGTCCTGTTTGTGACCACAATCACACCAAAATAATTCGACATTGCTGAAAATCAATCTGTAATAAATGTAATCGTAGATAACAATTGTATTAACAATATTAATTACTGATAAAACCGACAGGGGTAAATAATGAGCTTTGTCTTTTCTTTTATGTTGTATTCTTATATGTTGCTTGATACTGATTACATTTATTGGATAGACATAGGCATGTGTTCCAGCAGTGGATACATTTACAGGCTAATGATATGGACAGCATGATTGTTCCCACACAATAAAGGCTAACTAGAGCCGAGGTCCGAGTCTCAGAGACGCCCTCTAATTGAGTCGACCCCCTCAAGTTCGAGTGGTCTAGAAGCTCCAGACGAGAGGAGACTTCTCCCGTGGGGAGATGCCATCCGCCTGGAATACCTCTAGAGGCACTCGCCTATTCTTGGCTTGAGGTTCCCTTAGGATCTCGCCATCCCCAAACCCGGTGACGCTGTAAAGTTCAACTGCGACCAACAGCATACACATTAAAAAAAACATGACTGCCAAAATATTCGAAGATTTGAAAATAGTGTAGTGCGACTTAAGCGTCCATTAGACGGTAGGTTGTGGTGCCGTCAGTTTGTTGGCAGTCAAGTTATGACCAATAGATAATCTGTAGTCTGTACTAATGGGGTGACTGATGACAGTTGCACAAGCGTCTAATGGATGTCTTTCCACTGCGACACTGCCTGTAGGTAGTACACTCCTTTCTTTCTTGCAGGGTACAAGAAATAATAAATCTGAAATAATAATCATATATTTATTAGTTCGATAAACATTTAATTTGTGCCTTCTGTGTTTCTAGTCAAAGCCCTGTTTTAAATTTCGTCTTTTTTGAAGATGAATATATTGCGTCATAAAAGTGAACGAAGCCTAGAGGCTTCGTTCACAAAGTTAGAACTTTCATCGTGAATTTGCCTTTCATTTTTAACGCCAAAATTACACCCTTGGCTCCAATTTTATCAAATGAATATTTAAGAGGGTCCAAAAGTTCAGTATCATTTAAGAATATGAGAAATGAAATAACTACCCTCTATAGCTACACAACTTGGTAGCCAAGCTACCAAGTTGAAAGTCGAAATGGTTTTTTGGTCTGCAGGTTGTACACCACATTTCCCGCACATAGTTTAAATGTATATATGGATAATAAATATAATGAAATGTGTATACCTCCTCCTGCCTAAAAATAAAAACATAAATCCAACCATTCCATAGAAACAACTAAGTATAATTATTGTAAATGTTACTTTATCGGCACTACAAGTTTTTAACTTATACATAACATAACTGCCGTGCTATTCCTTTTCACAGTATAATCCGCGAAAATCACCGGTGTGATTTGAAAATTTGAAATTCGTAATCTAATTTTAAATCTCACCGGTGAATTACACTTGAGTGAAGAAACGTAATGTGCGAATTCCACGAAGTGAGTTTGTTCTTACGGAACAGCACGGCTGATGTATACCTATTATATACATCCGTCCATACCGAAGAGCTGGCAGCTACCTCTGACAAAAATAAGTTTAGCTTTTCAAAGGGGGAACGCTGCCAGTATCTTGGGAACCTTGCCTAAATGGACTCCTTTTAGAAATGTATTTTAGTTGTTATACATATATATATATATATATACATATTTTTTTAAGGTTTTTAGTTATAAATACCTTCCTATTTGTTCTTTAGTTAAATGTACATACAAGTACTTATAAATAACGTATCATTTGCTACATTTGTATATTAATTATATTCAACGACCGTTTTCTAACATAATAAAAATCAGTTTTTTTTTTTAACATTTTATTAAGCATTTTACTAATGCAGTCCTTCAGAAATAAGAAATCATATTATCATTATCTTTCTGAGCTGATGATTAACATTGAAAAGATCTTTAATTTGAAATATACCTATTAATACACGTATCTACACGATAAGAAAAACTTACGTGACACTCAGCAGATATGTAATTTATGGAAAGTAAGTAATGAATGTCAAACCAAGTATGCGCCCTAACCCCCTCGTTTACACCAAGAAACAAGTCATTACTAGTTTTACACAAAACTTGTAGAATACTTGTTGTGGCTGTTTAAATCATTCTTTCGTTAACACCGCATACACAACTAGAATCTTACAAGTATAAATCACTTCTTTTGTTATTGTGTTATTGTTTACTTCGGCGATGTAATTTTCACTAAAATGGATGAAATAATTATTTTCTAAACAAAAAATAAAACCGACTTCAAAATCGAAAATGGAACTAAAAAGTAAAAAAAAAAATTTTTTTTTTTTGAAAAATATTTGGAAGTCGGGCGGGTCAAAATTTAAAGACGTATTATTACTGATCAGAAACGAAAATCTATTTAATGTTATAATCTTGATACCGCCCGACTTCTAAATCATGAACTAGATATAATTTTTTACTTTTTAGTTCCATTTTCGACTTTGAAGTCGGTTTTTCTTTGTCTTTTTTTTTATTTTGCAGTTTTTCTTTTAACACATCAATCATCGAGTTAGGCGGGAGGGGAACCGCCATCTATCGCTATGTTAGCGAGAACTAATACAAGCGTTAGACCTCCCCCAGCACCTTCTGGGCTGCAAGTCGGCGCCACTCCTAAGCCGGCGGAGACCATAGGGCCTACCGCCTATCTAGATCACTTTGGCTATTGTTATAGCTTATAATTTCTTTTTGTCTTTCTTGACCCCCGAATGTTTTCAACTACCTCGCGCTCATTTTCTTTAATATTATTATTACCAATGCAAAAAGAACGCGAGGTATTTGAAAACCTTCGGCGGTCAGAAATAACAAAATGAAATCATAAGCTATAGCAATAGCCAAAGCAACCAGTTGAACCAGTGAAGATACGCCAGTTAACGGATGTAGATAGGGCCAGATTAGTGAACTTTAGTTATTTCCATAGTGTAATGTCGTACGGAATTTTATTGTGTCGCGCGTCGTGCCGCCGACATTCAAACTATTTCTGTGCTGCAGAAGAGAGCTATTCGATCTATTTATAATCTTAAAGTTAAAGAATCGTTAAGAGATAAGTTTAAAGAATTTGGAATAATAACGGTCGCATCACAATACATATACAAATATTTATTACTTGTAGGAAAAAATATTAATTTGTTTCATAAAAACAGTGATGTTCACACACTTAATACAAGAAACAAAAATAAACTAACTTTACCTGCTACTAGGCTTCACAAAATTAATAATTCATTTAAAGGTCTTTGTGTTCGCTTATACAATAAAGTCCCAAGCAATACCCAAGAGTTAAACATAAACAAATTTAAAGATAGTATAAAAAAAGCACTTATTAAAAAAGCTTGTTACAAAGTGTCTGATTATATTAAGGACAAAAATGCTTGGGTTTGAACTGTTCCAATCATTCCAACAGGTTTTCTATATTAAATAAATCATAATCAATTGACGTCGTAACAACATAATGATTTGTAAATGTTGTTACATTAGACTTTTAATGTTGTGGAGTTTTTTTTCGCTCGTATTTCTCCGCAGCAAAAAAAATGTAGAGTAGCGGTTTTATGGGACCGCTTCGTGTTTAATGTCATGGCGCGATTACATTTGGTCGCTAGCCCGAATACGAGTGCCAATGGAATTCGGGTAAATTACTAAGTGTCTAGTACGCCCGTATTCGGGTAGATTTCCTTATGTTTACCCGACACCGTCTTCCAGTCAGTCAACATCAACCTATTAATGTCCCCACTGCTGGGGCATAGGCCTTCACTATGGATGGAATAGGGAGATTGGGCCATGACCCACCACGCGGGCCCAGTGCGGATTGGTGGGCGCTAACGACTGCAGATGCAGCCGGGACCAATGGCTTAACGTGCCTTCCGGAGGAGCTCGAGATAGCAAAATTTTTGGTCACCAATCCAATAACCGACCACTGCGAAAGTTGCTTAACTTCAACGATCGCAGCCGAACGCGCTTACCTCTTGCGCCATCGAGCTCCTCCTTCCTCCTTCCAGCCAGTGTTCCAGTGTAAATATTGCTTCGGGTGCCCGAATTTGAGAAATGTCTTTCGTGCACCCGGATACGGGCTAGAACAAAAAAATATTGGACGATTATTTTTCTTTGGTTCGATTGCTTTTCCACCTAGAAAGAGTTCGGTACTAACTAGCTCATTTTTACTTGTTTTACCCTCTTTGTAATTTTCGCTCGATTCTTTGTTGGTGAAAACAGATGTATAATGCGATTCAACTAAGAATAGGACCGATTGGGCGCCATATTTTGACGTCATAGCTGTCAATTAAAACCAAATAGGTAGAGTGAGCAAAAAAAAATGACTATTAATAAAACTTATATACTAAAATTAAGTGAGAAAAAACATCAGATTTATTAACAAAATTAATTTACTAAGATTGAGAGAAAAAAACAATCGATAATAATCGATTGTTTTTTTTATTTATTTTTAAATATTAAAAAATAATATTTCTTTATTAAGACTGTGTGAGAAAAAACATTAATCAGAATCTAGTTCTTCAATTCCGCTTATCTCTGCATTACCGCCGGAGTAGTTATGAATAATCATGCAGGTCACATACGATCATGCATCCTACATGTAAACGAAAGTTTTAAATCGAGTTTCTGAACGCAACATAAAGTGACATTTGGTTGACTATTTAGGTTATCAACCATCCATAACCAAAGCTCAATAAATGAAAAATAATATCAACCAATATCAATTATCAATATTTGTTATTGTTTGTTTAAAAATGTTTGGTTTTTAGTCTAGAATTAGCTGAGTGCTAAAAACGTGTTCCAAATTTTTTTGCAAACCTTACTTTTCATGCGACAGTTGACAGATGGAGGTCATTGGCTTTCCTATTCTTATTTGAATTGCATTATATGCATTTTTGTATTGCAAGGTAAACGGAGTCATTAATAAGCTTTCTCCGCTCACGATAGAAAACCCTTTTAATCAAGCAAAACGTGAAAACGATAAAGCGTATCAGAGTTTCGGAATGGGGGCTCGTAAAGTCACTCTTAAGTAGAAATTGTAGCAAGACGTGCCGTCATGCGACATTTCAAATATACCTCTATCCCTTGTCCTAGCGCTATAAGGCTTATTAAGGAAATAAAAATAAGGTTAGTCGACATCAC